GCACCAGCTGACTTGGTGCCTCCTGTCCTCAGCTCGGACACGACTTCGACACGAGCGAACTCCAAGGCACGACATAGGGCCACTAGGGTGCAGGGCTTTTAGGGCCTTGGAAACACTGACATTATGGCCCGAAACCCAAACTCTAACCCGAAAGCTAAGCCCTGAACGCTGCTCGGCCTCGGCTGGCTCCGACCCAGCCGTCAGCGATCGGAGGCTCAGCCGCGACCCGACCTCGCCATTTCTCTCCGGTTTGGGATCCTCAGAAGCTTTGAAAGGATTTCCCCTGTATGGTGTTAGGAATGCCTTTCTATGAGGCTTTATCGCGCCTAGCTCTTTAGAAGGTTTGATGGTGTTCGGTATGGTCCCATACTGTCTTGCAGAGGTTTATGGGGTTGGATACGGGATTTCTTAACGTTCAGAGGGACCTTGACAGTGTGCGACGCAGAACTCTGGCATTTCCTCCAGCTGTAAAGGCCTCGAAACCCAAACCCTTACAGTCTTACAGCAACAACATTAAAGTTCGAAAAAAATGGCCTATGAAACTCTGCAAGGTTCGCAGGGTGGCTGAGAACATCGAGTCGATGATCTCGACTGTCTGCGTTGCTATAACACCCCTCAAATGCATGCACGGAGTGTCCCCAAACCCCCGAACCGCCAACCGAAAATACTGGGGCACCGGGCCGCCCGAGCGAGGAAGCAGGAAGTCCGCACCTGCAGGGACTTCGGGTGCGCAGGCCTTCATGCTTCCTGCATCCAGCTATCCTACCGTCCATCCAGGACTTTGGGAGACCGCGCCGGCAAATTGAAACCTCAGCCAACAGCAAGGCCTGACTGAACCCTCCTGCAAACTCCGAAGCCGCAGGGTGCCACGCCTCCTTGGGAGGGCAGATGGTGGCAGAAGCCAAGGTCAACCTCGGCAAACAGGCAGGGTCTTTGGACCTTCGGGGCTCCCAAGACTCATGTTTTCAGGCAACCATTACTCTATACATTTTACTGCATATTATCCCATATATCAGACTATATATGATAGATAGTATGCTATATCACGGTGTTCCGGCGTCAGGCCGCGGATCCCAGTGTCCTGGAGGCCTGGAAGATGAGAGCTGGGGGCTTTTGCAAGGCCCTGCGACCGATGCCTCCCACACGCCTTCCCAACCGAAGATCCCAATGCAAGGTACAATATACTACGACATCCCAAAACATGGTATCACGTAAAGTTGCAACCTAGTAGATGTCACATACTAAGATATGAGCTCATGAACATCTCGCATGGCCTAGTATAGCTCTCGAAGCATCCCACATCAAAGCCGCGGCACTGCTCGACTCCTCGGTCCTCTGAACGGAGAGCCTGACTGGGAGCCGAGTGAGGCTTCTCGGACAAATGACACATAGCATGTACTAACATAGAAAAGAATGTACATGATAGTATAACGTGAAGAAAACGGTATGTAGTATACCAGTACGAGCCATGGTAAACAAGACAGTAATCGTAGTACAGTATTGTGAGAGCGAGCGGTTTGAAAGGGCTTGCGGCGACCTCCAGAAAAGCAAAAACTGGCTCGCAGGGCAAGACTGGAGATCGACAACTGGACTGCAATGAACATGGTACATGCCGATGCAAACCTCCCTCAAAAAAAGAAAAGACAAAACGCTGGCGTTTGGTACCACAACATTCCACAACTTCGTGTGCCTGGAGTCAACGACAACAGCCACCACCACCACCACCACAAGCAGCAGGAGAAACGACAGCAAGACTGCTTAGCAGAACACAGAGGAGGACACTGGAGCAACCGGGCGCAAACTGGTGTTTAGGGGTTTTGGGGTTTTGGATTTAGACCAGCCTGCCTCGAACCTCTGCAGCTGGTTTGCGAAGGCTGAGACCTCGCGTTGCTCGTGAGGCGAATGCGCCTTTGTGATTTTGATGGCCGGTATGTTTCTGATACTGAAAGGGTACGCATGGCGGACTTTACTAGTGCTTTGAGTACCGCGGCGGCGATGGTCATGATGACTATCATCATCATAATAATGGTAGTGATGGCAGTGACGATTACGATGGTGTGGAACTGCTGATGGCGATGTTAACGGAACTGTCAGCAACGACGTGTTACTATAATAAAGAGTTGAAAGGATTACCATGCTTCTGCTGCTGCTGTTTTTGCTGCTACTAAGTGCCACCACAACCGCCTCCACCACGACTACGACTGCGACTCCCAATGCTGCAGCGACGACAACGAGGACGACAACGGGGACGAGGCGACGACGAAGACGTCGACGACTAAATAAAGCAACTAAATTTAAATCTCTTGCTGTCACTGCCACTACCCTGCTACATAGCTCGTACCTTTCCCAAGCCTCTTCGTCTCCAGTCCAATCCCACTAGTGCTCTTGGAGCCCCTGGCACTCCAGACGGAGGAGCCCTGGTCCGTGGCCAAGAAGATCCTCCCACCTCGCGCCGGGAGAAAACTCGAAGCTTCCCAGACTTGAGAATCGGCTTCAGATGCCTCTTTAGGCTTGAGAAGCAGGCTCCTAACCCCTATAGTACCCCATATAGTTCCCTTATGTTCCCCATAAAGTACCCTTATAGTACCCATATAGAGCCCTTGAAAGGAACCTGCTCCAAGCCTCCGGAAGCTGTTCCTGAGCCTCAAACCTCACCTCGCCCCCCATTTTTGGGCCCAGAGACTAACCCAAGGTTTCCAAGAAATCCATGGAGCCTCACATAGTACCCTAAATTGTAGGATCCTTACTTCTAGGACCCCAAAATAAGGTACCCCTAACATCGTAGCTTCAAATCTGGAAACCAGGGCTTGGGCTGAGGGCTCCCGGTGCCCGGTGCCCGAATCCCAGCTTCCTTTTGCTATAGTACCCTTATAGTACCCATATAGTACCCATATACCCTTATAGAGGGGAACCCTCTGCTCGGGCCTTCCTCGCCATGGTTGCACGACCTCAGGCATGGGCCACGGAACCCCAAAGCCCCTCAAAGCAGAAACACCCGGCGCCTTTCTTGGAAGGGGGGGGGGAGCGTCCCATGCAGCAGTTCAGTATCAGTCTGATGTACCCTGCACCTAAGGGTGGAGACCCTGAACCCAAGCACATGACTCCATGGGCCCCCATGAATTTGGGCCTCGTTTTGTTGCTGCAACCGGAAAGGCGCCTCCGAGAACTCTCCGACCCGAGGCCGGCACAGAGACTCTGCATGCTGCACAAGGTCCGAGGGCCAGCCCTGACGTTCGGATTCTACATGAAATCAGGGGCCTTAATTCAGTCTGAGGATCCCATGTGATAACATCCCCAACCTGCCTTCATGCCACCTGCAGAGCCCTTTCACATTAGGGGCTTTATCGTGTGGCGGGGTTGTTGCGCATAGTTCCGGAACTCAGTGAGGATGCCCTTCTTCGGGAAGCTTGCTCTTCTGAGGCCCGAAGTGTGTGATAGATAGAACCGTGGTCACAAGCCCAAGTCATGTAATTTATTCGGGCTGCCTCGGTGGATGTCCCTCGCGTCCCCAAGAGAGGAGCGGGCCGGATGACATCCCAGAACACGAACACCCCAAGTCCCTGCTAACCCATCACCAATTATTCAACCCTGCATCCCAAAATCCCCGAAACTGGTCATGACCTGTATGGGCTTGAGTATGACGATGCTGTCAGTGTCCCATGCCTGAATGACGACCTTCACATGAGTTTGCAATGCTTCGAGGTTGTCCAGGCGCTTAATGAATAATTAGGTAGGCCGTGGTCAGCTTGGAATGGGGCGCAACTGAATCCGTCTTGCCACTCGAGGCCTCACTGTCCAAGGTGCTTTGGCTTCATACTTTTCACCGTTATGCAGTCCCCAGCCCTTAACGCGGCAGTCGCACCGACATGTTGAAGGGCTCGAAGTCCCAGGGGGCAGCCTCGCGAAGCCTGCCGAGACAGAGCAGGGTTGAAGCCTCAACTCGAAAGCCGAGAGGTGGAAGCTCCCTGGGAAGAGCGGGACACCCGGCCCCGTCACTGCTTTAGCCGTCTGAGCGAGTCGGCGGCCTAAAGGTTTTTTGTAGGGTTTTACGGGGCTCCTAGATGGGCTTCTACCATCTGAAGCTGCTTTCTTCTTGAAAGGCCTCCTCTCCTCCGACTTCTCCTCCGCTTCCTCCTCCTTCAGCTTCATCACCAGCATGTCGTACTTCGGCCTAAGGAAGGCCCGTTTGAGTGTAGGAGTTTAGGGGTATCGTGGCTTGGGGTTTAGGGGTACCAGGAACAATCTTATAGAGAGCAGCAGAAGACCAACGTGCCCTAAATCGCGAACACCCCTGGGGCAGCCCGCAAGACGCCGGTGTTCTGAAGCAGGAAGGAGACGCCCAAGCCAAACCTGAGCACTCCGGAAAAAGTCGCCACGTGCAATAAACTGGCGTTAGCATTGGGTTGGGCATGCGGATATTCTTCAGTTCTATCTCAGGGCTCTCAGAGAACGGCTCTAGACTAGTTGCGATTTGTTCGATGCTATAAAGGAACATTGCAAATAAATGCCTTCGACCGATTGAGGCTTACTAATCAGCGGTCTGCATAACTCATGTTTCTGACCCTCGCGGTGCGAAAGCGGTCTGCAAGCATCTGCAAGTCAAAACTTCTTAGCTGGACAGCAGAGAGTAAATTGTGTCCACTATGCATCCAGCTGGACTTGACACTTCTGGTCTTAAACCGGGCACTTTCCACCTGTCATGGCCTCTGATGAGGATTAGCGTTGCTGCAAGGCTTATGCAGCGGCCCACATAACTTGCGACGTCCCGACGTGCATGGTCACCTCGCCAATCTCTTGTTGGAAGGTGATTGAATTTGAAAACTGACAGCACTTGACTGTCACGAGAGCGACCTGGAAGACGTCTGGGTTCTCAAACATTGATCACGAAAACCAAAACGAGAAACGAGGTACACTGCTATGTCCCACCCCGACACGACGCCGAGTAAACCCAGCAACTGGCACGCTCTCTATCAGGTGCAGCACTCCCTGCTAACGTGTGCTCATACATGCACCGGCTTTTGTGGGGAAGAGTCCTCCAGCTTCGGGTCCTGTCCACTGAAGGCATAAGCCTTCGGCGGAGAGTGCGAATGCATGTCGTAGCCGATCTTCTCAGTGTGATCGTCGATACGAAGGAGCCCGGAAAATCTCAGGGCCAGGAAGGACAGCGTGGACAGCGTCCCGGCCCAGGCGATGATGGCCACAATCATCACAAGCTGCGCTGCGATGGCGGAGCCTCCAATGCCCTTGCTGCACGCACCGTCGTCACTCGTCATGCAGCCGAAACCGCTCCAGCCGTGATAGTGGTCAAAGCCCTTGCCCCAATCGAAGAGAGCAGTGGCAAGAAGCCCCCAGACGCCACAGGCTCCGTGCACAGCGCTGGCATCCACGGGGTCGTCAATCTTCAGCCTCACAAGGAGACTTGACGCCGCCTGGTAGAAGAAAGCACCAATGAAGCCGGTGAGAACAGCGCTGCCGCACTCCATGTTTCCGCACCCCGCAGTGATGGACACCAAGCCCGAAAGAATGCCATTACAGAGAGCTCCGACATCATACTTGCGCGTGAGCACGAACTTCAGCAGGAACACAGAAATCCCGCAGGTGGCGGCGGAAAGAGTAGTGTTCATGGCCACCTGTGCCGCAAGGGCCCCCATCTCCTTGTCGTGCATCGAGAGAGTGGAGCCTGGGTTGAAGCCATACCAGCCGAACCACAGCGCGAAGGTGCCGAGCACGATCCTTGGCTGTTCTACGTTGTTTTATGGCGCACCTTATGCTAAAAGCTCTGCTTAGACACACTCATTTCCATATAAACGCGCATCGGAATACAACTATACATGTGCAAATGCACAAAAACATATTGTACACATCCTACATATATAGACAAAACATAGAGGTGCTTAAACATAATCATAAAATTTCATAAATAAACATCCACATCTGGCTTTGCATGCACATACATATGAAGCATGCCCCACCCAACCCGACCTTGATCCAAAACTGCACTATGTCTGACTGACGGCTCTTTTCGTCGTTTGGAGAAAGCGCTGACTCACGCCGTTTGGCGACAAAACAAGCTGGAACGACTGGCCGCCGACCGAACCGCCTCCCAACAACTCACAAGCTCAGGCTCGTCTGCCGCTTCCGCAAACGGCGCACTCGATGTCGCTGCTTTCGAATACGTCTGCACCGCATGCTGCCACGTTCTCTGGACGGCCCAAGCTTGCCACCTAGCGAGCCTTTCCTGGCACTCTTGCCTAGAGAGATGATCTGACTGACCCCCCTATATCGAAGTGCAATAGAAGCAGCATACCGAGTGCCTGGAAGGAGTGAAGAGACTCCGCAAACTCTCCAACCATGGGGGCAAGCGAACCCTCGAATAGCACGTAGCCTCGTGGCCAGGTTGCCGGCAGTAGCTGCATGCATCGCTGGGGGAAACGTCTTCCGACTGCAGGCCTTCTGAGAGCTTGTCGGGCCATGGGGCATCGATCAGGAGGGCTTGCACCCTTGCCCGTGCGCTTCAACCAGCTCAAGGCCTTCATCGATGTTGCCCGCCAGTTGTTGGGATAGACTTGCACCGCAATCCATCTTTGCCAGAGTTGGGCGTACAACTGCCATACAACAGTAGTGCTTGACCTCAGCTCCGCACCAGCTGTCCGCGCAGCGGCCTTATGCGAAGCGGCCCGAGACTGGCATTGAAGCTCCTCCACCGTGACACGGACCCACGGCAAAGCAATAGGCACGGCATCTCTTTGGAACTCTTGATCCCAATCTTGGCACGATGCATCGACATTAACTTCCCTATTTTGTCAATCCCGACGCCAAAAGCGCCGCCAATAGCACCGGAGCAGAGCAATGCTGCATTGACCGTCCAACAGTCCACACGGAAACACGAGCTGGGGCCTGTTTGGCGTCTTGACTGCTGCCAAATGGTTGCAGCAGTCTGGTCAGAAGCGCAGTTTTTCCAAGGATTTAATCTCTCGTTGCACTCCTGGCTACGCAGCGGCTCGTTGGGGCGAGCGGCAGCCCAACGTCTCAAAGCCTTTGCGGCGTCCTCGTTGCCCCTAGGCATGCACCGCTCGGCCTCGAGCAGGCGACTGGTGCGGCTCTGGAGAGTACTCTGAGTGCAAGATTGAAAGTCTTGTCTTTCTCGTCTAGGCTGTCGCACCGGAGGAGGGTTCGGCGCAGGGACTTTCCTGCGAAGTCGTCGGTGGCAGTTCTGTTGAGCACAAACATGCAAAGCTTCCTGGGATGCCGCAGCACCCAGATCATGAAAGAGCGAGAGTTCCAGATCGGGCTGTGGGTCGCAGGTAAGTGCTCTCCTTATTCAAAGCCTTATTATATATTGCAGCAGCAGCGGCAACGTTGCGCCAGGCGGAAGCCAAGCGAGCCTGCCACGTGGTTCCTCAATTTGAGTCGGGCATTGACGGCACATTGAAACATTGAAACCGGGGCATGGGCAGTATGCGATGCGCGGCGGCATCATCATTGCACATGTCCAAATTGAAAACATGATCAACCCATTTGACGTGCTCCATGAGCGCGCAACAATGGGGAATTCGCGTGACAGCATAGTCCAAGCATGATGGCCTTCCCACCGGGTCGGAGCAAGACTGCCATCCACCTCGCGAGCACCCACGATGGAGGCATCGCGGTTGGAAAGGCAGGCATAACGATTGGTTACTGTCAGGACCCCAGTTGAAATCGCCCACCATGAACCACGGCAGACTGGGTCGGCCGGCCCACACCGCCTCACTGAGGCGTCAACTTCCACTGCGTCAAGCCTGCGATAGATTGCAAGGAGAAAGGAGCCAAAGTCATGGGCCAGGCATTGACCTGCTGCGACACGCCAAAGAGGTGTGAGGCGCGATTTTGACGCTGCGCTGAACGAGGACAGCGACTCACCCGAGTTGAGTGCCCACAACAGGAACAAGTCCAGCGGCAGTGACCTCAGCGGCAGCAGCACTGCCCCGAGCTAAGAGTTTCTGCTTGCACGTGTTCTCACACAAACCTGGTGCAGCAGCCCACCCACACCAAAACAGCAATTGTCTGTCGAGCTGTGAGCCAGGTTGCACGCAACGATATTGCGATCGTCTAGATAGACCGTCACAGGCTTGCATTCGGTTCGGCTCGATGACACGCCTGCACGAGCGCCCACAGCATGGCGTTCAGTGCCATGGGTGACAGAGCATCGCCTTGAGGGATACTGCTGCTGATGGTCTCTGGGGCGGGGTCCGCGCAGCCCTGCAGGCCCAACCTTCTACTCTGATCCAGCCACTTGAAAAAACACAGTGCAACCATCATGTGTGGAGGCATGCTTCGTGTAGTCGAGTGAAAGCAAATCATAGCTACGCACGTAGGCCTGGCGCAGTACGCACTCCTCGCCCGGTAAGGCCGCCATTGCAGCCCACTGGCGTGTAAGTGCTCTCACACTGGGCCCAAGCAGAGCTCGCGACTCGACAAAGGATGGGCTCAAGGGCATCACTAACAGCTAAACCCAAAACGGGGTCGGGGTCAACCTCATAGCGGCGATGCACTTGCAGGTACTGGCATCAGCTGGTGCCATCTTTGCCAGAGTTGGGCGTACAATTGCCATACAACCTTAGGCAAGTGCTTGACTTCGTTTTCACACCATCCGTCGGCGCCGGCGGCTTTAGGCGAAGAAGAGGGTTGGGCCTAATGTTGTAACTCCTCTGCAGTGACTGGGACCCACGGCAAGGCAGCTGGCGCAGCATGTCTGTGGAACTCTTGATCCCGAGCTTGGCACGAAGCAACGACACTGTAACTTTTGCTTGGATAATGCGACGCCGCGACGCCAGTAGCACCGAAGCAAGGCAATGCTGGAGGCAACATCTGTAGTGCGTTAACCACATCCAAGGAAAGATGAGCCGGGGCTTGTTCGGTGTCTTGACGCACTCGTTTGGCAGCAGCCTGACCAGACGCAATGCGCTCTTTCCAAGCATGTATAATCTCTCGCGAGATTCTTGGTTGGAGTCTAGCGAGCGGCAGCCTTACGTCTCAAAGTCTGTGCTGCGTCGTCGTCGCCTCTTCGTCCCTAGCCAGGCACCGCTCGAGCACGCGACCGATGCAACGCCGGAAGATGCGCTGAGTGCAAGATTGAAAGTCTTGACGCTCTGTCGTCTACGCTGGCGCACCGGAAGCGGGTTCGGCGCAGAACCTTTCTTGTGAATTTGTCGTTGAGTGAGTGTTCTGTTGAGCACATGCACCCAGAGCTTCTTGGGACGCCGCAGCAACCAGATCATGAAAGAGTGAGAGTTCCAATTCAGGCTGCGGTCGCCGGTGAGCGCTCTCCTTCTGCGCCACACGTCGCGCCAGGACGCCAAGTGAGCCTGCCGCGCGGCTGCCGAACCTGAGCAGGGCACTGGGGGGGGGGGGCAGCATGCGATGCCCGGCGGCATGATCATTGCAAAGACTTCGGAATACGATGACCCTCGAAGTGAGCAGCGCAGCAGTGGGGAATGCTCGTGAGAGCATAGTCCAAGCATTCATGGCCCTCCCAGCGGGTCGGAGCAAGATTGCCATCCAACTTCGGAGGCGTCGCGGTTGGAAAGCAAGGGCAACCACGGACCCTGTCAGGGCTCCAGTTGAAGTCGCCCACCATGAAGCATGGCTGTCTGGGTCGGCCGGCCCACACCGTCTCACTGATGTGCTCAGTCATGGCCTCAACTTCCACTGCGTCAGGTCTGCGGTAGACCACAAGGAGAAAGAGTCAAGGGTCAGGAGTTGACCTGCTGCACGCCAAGAGGTGTGAGGCGCGACTTTGATGCTGGCTTATAACAACGACAGCGATTCCACCCGAGTTAACATCATAACCCCGGATCGCCCTACGACCACTAGCGCTCAAAATTATGAAACCAGTGTAGCCTGCAGCCTTGGCGAAAACCTGGACATGATCAGGGAAGACACACACCTCCTGAAGCATGATGATGCGCACCTTTGTGCCTTAGCAGCCTCATACGCATTGTGTCGGCCTTGCACATGTGGAAACCATGTCTAATCAGGGGCCTAAACCGCAAAGACGAACCGCAAGGGCCGGGATTAGGCTCTATGCCTTCAGCACGCAGATCGCGATACCATTGGGCACGCTGCAGCTGCCAGATGTACGACTGAGTGCCCCTTTGCCGCGTCGCCCCGGGCCGGCAGCCTTCGGCAGCCTTGCTCGACATCTTCGCGGGCTTCCAGGGCATCAATCTGCGCACGGTTGATGCCGGCATGCAGGTAACGTTTCAGAGCAACGGGATTTCTGCGCAGGCCACTCCAGAGTTGCCATCGCCGGCCGTAGTTCAAGCAGCCGCAGCAATCTTCAGTGCTGCGAGAAAGATGGCTAATGCTTGACCACCGCCCATAGCACGGCGAGCAATAGATGTAGGACTCAACGAGCTTGAGGGCCTGTGAGCTACAGTAGTTGTTCTTTCCTGTGCCTCCTGGACAGCATTCCGCCAAATGGGCCCGGAGATGGAAAACATGCTTGGACGGGCAAGCAGGCATGGTCTCGTGGCAAAGGTGGCACTCCCACACTCTTTGCTCCGCAGGGATGGCGTCAGACGCCTGCACAACCACAGGGCGTTAACGTGGAAACAGGTTACACCCAGTGACTGCCGTGGCCTGTCGCGGCCAGGCGAAGGCTGGCCGCGACGCCCTCCACCCCGCCGAACCGCGCTCCGAAACAACGACAACGACCTCGTCGTCGTGCGAGCTGTGGCCATCGTCACCGTCGG